GAGAGATACTGCACCGATTTTCACATATTTATGTATGATATTTTATTCCTTTAGCAGGAAAACCAGAAGAAAGATGAAGAACAATTCTTTCCAGACACGGTTCCCTCTTGCTTTTGTAACTCACACTTCTATTACATTGTGCAAATAATGATTTTTAATTTATGCTTCGCTTGGTATACACCAGCTTTAGGAAGAGAGCACTTCACAAGAAACTGCATCAGTCTCCTAAAACAATCAACTCTGGGGAAAAAAAAAATGCCCTAAGGGTTTGTGAAGAGCCCTAAGGACCAGCTCACCCAACTGCAAGCCCCATGCTCCCTCCCCTCTCTCCTGCAGGACTTTCCAAGCCCACGGAAGGACGTATGGATTGCCCTTGTGCAATATCCTGTTGCCCATCCATCACCACACCTGAATGTGTCAGGCAGGCAGAGACTGACATTGGGGCATCTTGCAAAGCCCCGGGGATCCTCTCCCCTGGTTTAACTCTTTCAGGCCTGCCCAAGTAGCACAAGTCACCTTTGCATTTTCCTGCCAGGAGATGCGAAGCCTCCTGACTGTCCTGGAAATAAATGAAACCCAAAGTTTACCGCTAGCGAGCAAAGTGCGAGACTGCGACCGTACAATACATTTTCCTAACAAGAGTTTGCAGACCAAAGTCCCCTCCTGCCTATTAATTCAACTACCATTTAATTCACGATAAAAATCCTTCTCTTAAAGAGCCAAAAGATTCCCTATGCCCCAGGCTACGCGCAGCAGCAGCAAACGTGAAAACACACTGCCGTCTGCAGGCCTGATCCTGTCGAGAGTGCCGGGGCCCTCCGATTCCCACCGGGAAATCAATCGCTGTTAGACCAGAGAGTTCCCCTAAAAGAAAAGTCTTATCTAGAACAGGTCATGTTATACAACAAGTCACTCGCTTTGCCTGGGAAATGAAAGATGATGAGGCAGAGTCCGTGGCATAGAGGCTATCTCCATAAATCTGCCAAAAAAGAACCGTGGATTACTTTGCTGGATTAATTATCTGTCCTTCAAACACAGCCCTGACCTCAGCGGCTGAGCATCTCCGAGCTGTCAAAGCAGCCGGGGATCCAGGGATGGAGGGCTTTGACAGGGCACCGTCCGCAGTCTGCCTGCACCCTCCTTTTCTCCTGGGACAACCAGCAGAAACACCTATCAGAGCAACGCGAGCCCTGGCACTGACCAGCCTGTCGGCATGAGGGGCTTGAATTGTGAGGTCTCAATCTGGATTTCCTTTCCGAATGGCCTTTTGCAGGGTGGTGACCCCACTCCTCGCAAAATGCAGGGTGAAAAAATGCATGTTTTCATGGGGCTAAAACACTCAGATTGGAAGGAAGGGGGAGAAACGACCGAGCGGCTTTTCCCTAGAAGTGATAGAAACAATTCCCCATGCAGGCAGGCAGACAGGCAGGAGGGCTCGTCTGCCCGGACAGGACAGCTAGCCAAAGCCATGACACAGCCAGATCAGTGCTCCTCTGTCATTTCAGGCTTAACAGCTTTCTAAGCTGGCGGTATAAAGTTAGATCTTAAGTCTTATTTTATGTGGTTATGGTTAATCTTTTAGTTTTATTGTTTTCCTGTCACGGAAGGACCTTGTGCTGGAGATAGCCATATAAATAAGAGCTGCTGCAGTATATCCTGAGGTGCCGCTACCCGAGGGCTGGAGCTCAATAGGACACTGGCAATCCTAAATTAATTTTTATACCCCGCCTCCAAATCATACCAATGCTTTAGATATTAATACCAAAGGAATGATAAATGTCTAAGTTGGTTTTCAGCTCTCTCACTGCTGTATATTCAATCCCAGCTGGTAAAATCAGACCAGCCAGGTGCGAGCCCTGTGCCTGAAAGCCTGGGAGAGCCGGGGAGAGGCATCACCCATCCCTGCCGTGGAATGGCAACAGCATCACCGCCACCTCTCCTTGTGCAAGAGAGCTGAAGAGCCCGGTATAATTACTGCCTCCACCGACCATTTTCACTTTTGCTTACGGTTGGTTTCTAATTTAATTTGCTTCCCCATTCCCATATGTTAAACTATTTTTTTGCAAAATTGCCATAAAAATTTACCAGCTCAGGCACAAAATCTGCTCGCTGACCTTTATCATCATGATTGAGGATAATGACAAGTTAATTAGGCTTTACCTGCCTGCCAAAAAAAAATCGCTTGCCTTGGGTGAGCAGGATTTTGGAGGCTCGCTAGCAGCTGGTTCCCGTGTCTGGACTCTCAAACATCTGAAGGTAACATCTTCTTTCAAAAGTAAGAAGCAAATCATGGAAAGTATAAGAGAATGCCTTGAGCAGAGTGGGGGAGGCACTCGCACTCCTACTGACTTCAGAAAAAAAATCGTTTGCCCCAAAACCATGTTTTCTTTAAAAATTGCCCTCAGCCACACACCTCGGCCAATATCTGGCACCCGAATGAAGCTGGCGAACTCTAACTCTAACAATAAACTCAATTCAAAGTGGAAGCAGAGCATCCTGAAGCCTGGCTTCAGGGATTTTAGAAACCTCCATCTGAAGCCGAAGGCAGGGTGAGGATGGGGAGGAGGCAGGAGGCAATAGCGGGTGTCTGCGGTCACCCCTTGGTCTGTCCACAGGCTGATCCTTCTCAACACCACTGCTCTGCAAGATGCTGGTGCCGACAGGAGAACATCTCCTGGCCAGTTATGAAAACACTCCACAACTCTCATGTTTGGGGAAAAAAAAAACCAAACGTAAAGCAGTTTAATCATTCTTTGATGTGTTCTGCCTGATTCCCCGATACGAGAGCTACCCCCTGCCAGGCGGGGCCAGGAGCAGGGATTAAGCTCCTGGCATACGCAAGCATATGCGAGGATGTTTGCACTGATCTGCCTGCCTGTCACTCTGCACCCTGCTGCCATGAGGCTCCCAGAGCGTGCCTGGCTCCCTTCCACCTCCTCTCCGCCCGGCCGTAACGGCCAAGCTGGAGGCCACCCCTGGGCCCAGGGGGGGGG